GTTTTGCTACAAGCAACTGTGTGCAGCGCAATCTTCCGTTCAACTCCTTCAGCATTTGTATACTTGCTCGCAGTTGTATTCGTGTGTTGTTTATTCTTGTGCCCTGGAGCAGCATGCTACTCTGCACATCGCTATGCGTAATTCTGCAGCAACTGTATATGTCAATTTATAGGAATACCAAGTCTGACGATTGCTAGAGGGCCATCCGTGAGGTAGGAGGCTTCCCGAACCAGCACGTCCATCATGGGGGCCCCCATGCCAATGGATACGATAGATACCGGCTTATTCTTGTAGAATCCTGATGATACATAGACAGAGGTCGGGTTTTCTGTGCTTATGCGCTGCGGACAGTGACCGGAATTGCACGTTGCCACGCCCACTATGCTGCATGGATGCAGGAGCTTTCTTACTGGCTTGGAATTCACACTTGCGTCTATCCAACAAAGCACAAGGCAAAATTTACCCTCCATCTCTCCTATCAGACGGAGAGGCGGCTGGAACAAGATGCAAGTTATATATAGCAAGAGTGTAAGTGTCAAAAAATGCTTGTGACAGGCTGTCATTGAAGCAAGCCAGCGCTAGCTTACCCGAGTGAAGTCTGAAATTGCGATTGCTTTTTAAGGACAAAGTTCTCATCTGTGAGTCCAGGAAGCGTTCAGCTAGCCAGTCTGCTCGNCCCTCTCCAGGGACCAGTAAAGAATCTCTCGTGCGTGTAGCGCTGAACAGAAAGGTGGAGGGGGCTAGACGTCCTCTGTCAGTTGGCATGCTCGGTCCGGCGACACGCCGTGCGTCTGTATCTTGATCTGTACGACAACCTGCAGTGACACTTCTTTTGTTTTGGTCTTTGCGGTAAAATGACGAATCTCTGTGAGCTGCCGACTTTCCCGCATGCGAAGTCGCGTGCCTGGAAGATGTCGATGAAGTCTGACTGCTGCGAGAGGCACGACTTGAATCGTTACTGGTGGTGAACGTCTCTCTGGAGACAGACAGTGAGGATTTGGAGCATGTTCCAATGACAGAAGATTGCCTGTGAGTTGCGCAGCTAGCACCTCTTGTCAGAGACGTTCTGTGGGTCGAATAACGTGGGGAGGCATCTTTGTGGGCCCGTCCGTCTCGGTTATCGCCGCTGTGGCCGCTGTTCCCCGTGCCTCGATCACTTGCGCTAAGCCTTCTGTAGTGACCTGTACTTTGGCTGCTTGTACTGAAGCTGCTGGCAGACTGATCAGGGTTGCATGAGGCTTTACTGCTCATCCTTGACAGTGAGGGATGANTCGTGGACTCTGGCATGCTGAGGTATTTCAACGCTGGATCGCCGGCTGTGGCTACCGCGCACATTAGGCGGTAGCAACTGAGGATTGAGGAAGGTAGCCACCGTGTTAGAGCGAGGTTTCGGGGGAATTCCAGAGGCATTTCTTCCTTCTGCACGACCGTCGACAGATTTCCCATGCGGGAATTCGCCATGGCCCATCACAGGGATGGGCTCTGCGCCGACATTCGGCTTCATCCCGAACTCGCAGGGGCCCTTGAAACCCGAAGAAGCCTCACTGTTATGAGTCTTCCCGTTAGAGGACCACCAATTTTAGCCTGTTATTTCTTAATAGAGAAGTGGATTATGCCTGATTCTCCCGGTTTGGTCATCGTCCGGGAGGGCGCTAGTTGCGCTGCCGGCCACGACAATGAGTCTGGGCCTGGTGTTCGGGAAAATATTCGGAAGTAAATGTTGTAAAATACGTGAAGGTAGAAACAAACTCCGCCACCGAACTAAATAACAGCCGCCCGAGCAAAATACTAAGAAGACACTGATGACATTGCTTGGGACTGGTTGACCGCGTGTGCATAGAGCGCCAATGCCTTCCAGGTAGGATCAAGTCTGTTATCTCCATAACTTCCAANTTGACCGCGTGTGCATAGAGCGCCAATGCCTTCCAGGTAGGATCAAGTCTGTTATCTCCATAACTTCCAACCTTCTTACACAATTGGCTATATTTAGCAATTTATAGAGCCCCTGGGAGGTTTGGGGGTCAACTTAAATTGCTATACATATGAGACACGGCTCCCTGTAGCGTTACGCCACAGCCACATGATGCCCGCCGTTGGTAACGCAGGGCTGGAAAACGCCAGTTATGCACTCAGATTTCAGAGGCGAGTTGATTAATTGATACTTAATTGGTTAACACTGCAGAATCAGTAAATGCTTGCTCATGACTTCGAAATGCATACATGGCAGAAGCGCTCATAGATACCGGCATCAGGTGAAACCTATAACGACGATCTTCGATGTTAGCGGAGGACCGTCGTGAGCTGCGAAAAAGTCAAAATACTCCAGAAAATACATCCCCTAGTGCTAGTGACCTCCACTCGGAATCTCCAGGCACCATGGGCACAGTTGGGCAAGGACCTGGTATATCTTAAGCTGTCTGAAGTTGGTATATGTATCTCTGGTTGCTTGCAGGACCCAGAAAAAATTTAAAAGTTGTCTCCAGTGTTAGTGCACGCAGGAAATGAGGCATCAAGGCATGCGAAGACGAGCTGCTTGTTATGAATTGCAACGTGCTTTTGCAACTCCTTTCCTAATGGCAAACCTATATGTACACATAGCCTAACCCCTCCCTTGCATGTGATGACGCTGTATACAGCTCTTAAGTACTTGACTTGCCATCAATAGCCAGCCTGATCGCAAGTAGGAATACACGTGGAAACCTTAGACAAACTATGCTACATTAGTCCTTTCCCTTTCTTATCAGCAGCACACGCCCTCGTGGGCCTGCTGGCCCTCAAAGGAATGGGCGCAACGAGGGTGGGAAAGGACGCGGCGTCAGCCTCCATAGTCATGGACACCAAAAGGAAAAATCAATATGACATAGGCACAATGGGAGAGGATCATCTGGAGATGCTGCTTCCACTTGATGCTGCCGCTGCTGACCCGACCCAGATATCCCTGCTGCAAACTCGCTGCGCAGCGTGGCCACTCCTTGTGTACCAGGCTCTATCTCATTCGCTGGTTCGGGTGCAGATTTTTAATGCAAGCATCCCATCCTAAGGAAAGATATTCCGTGAGCAAAAGTCGACGCGTACCATCGGTAAGGTTCTGCCCAGCCCCAACAAGGGGGCACAGCACTAAAATATGGAAAACGCGAAGGTATTGGCAGCGGTGCCAGGTAAGAAGCCATAGACTTCTTACCTGTGCATTTCACAGAGCAGCGAACTTCGCAGGCACTGCACGTGCTGCTGCACATTCCAGCTGATTACGAGCACATTATCGACGCGCATAACTGTCGAGGCATTATTTATTGGCTCCAAAGAATCGTGATTGGCCTCTCGACGTAGTTAGGCAAGTGCACTAGCGAGCCAAAAAGGTATACGGTTATACCGTAGCCTGCGAGCGCGCGGAGGGATACCAGCTTTGTCTCTGTCGTCGGGATGGATTTGGATCAACGAAAAACGCGTTCAAGAAACCAAATGATGAATAGACTGCTGAACCCTGCAAACTGTCAGGTAGCTTGTCGACCAGGGGCGTCGGAAGCTTTCGCTTCCCCGCGATTTGATTGAGAAGCTTGAACTCGACATATCTGCGATGACCACAAGAGAAACGAGCCTCATAGTTCTTAACAGAGGAGAACCGTGAGCGGTAATACGCTCAGAGACTTCACTAAGGGCTCGCGAAAAGTATCTGACCTCCTATCCAGTCTTCGGGCATTCCGGGCACAGCAGCCCTTGGGCGTGGGACAGAAAGGAGTCGGCTTGTTATGAGCTTCAACCTACTTTGCTGCAATCCCTTGAGCAAGGTGACCCCACATGTGAGTGCACCCAAGCCCCATTTTGATGCATGTACTAACACTGCATATGACGGTTCAACAACTTCTTACAATGTTAGTGCATACAGAAAAGCTGGACTTAGCGTGTTTTCATCTGGTATGGCCTTGCAGCCCTTGTTGCAGCGAGGCGCGTTGCAAATCACGTCATCCCGCCTCCTTCCCCCAGGCCGCAGGCCCTTGGGGCGCCTGGTTGAGACCATCTGGTTAATGGAGGGGAGGTCAGCGGTGTTTCTTTGGAAATCCCTATCCTATGCATTTCGACTCTATTGCAACAAACGACAGTCGTCGAACAAGATCGAAGAAGTTCGTCTGAGTCTCTGTATCACGGCTTGTCTGGCGTTGGAAGATGTACTTCTAGCTACATGCACGTTGCCGATCGATGGCCAAGTAAACGTTCAACATTTACTCGGCCATTAGAAGGCAGCCTGCACTCATGGACAAGTACGTCTTCCAACTTGTGTGCAACCGTGCTACACAGGCCAGGTTATATCTCTAGTACGTGCACTCGATGCCGCAGTAGCC